CTCTGAATTAGGAGTTTAGCATGTTACTCTCACTGATGGACGTCACATCTCTTGATTTTTTATATTTCCCTCTTAACATGTCTCTTCTGTACCTGCATGTAGAACACTGGTCTAGAACTCTGAATTAGGAGTTTAGCATGTTACTCTCACTGATGGACGTCACATCTCTTGATTTTTATATAAATTTCCCTCTTAACATGTCTCTTCTGTACCTGCATGTAGAACACTGGTCTAGATCTCTGAATTAGGAGTTTAGCATGTTACTCTCACTGATGGACATTACATCTCAATTTTTGTATTTTATTACCCACCCCAAGGGTATAGGAAAAAGGACTTCAGTCCAAGAGTGTCTGTGTCCCCTTGTTACAGAAAAGCAAGACTTTATTTAAATCAATTGTAAAAAAAAACCCAGCATTCTCTGAGATCCATAGGAGAGATGGTGGTGAGAGACCCTTCCATCAAAACATTTCAGTTAATCTATTTTGATTTATAACATAACCAAAGTAAAGCGCGCACTCTGATTGGTCAATTTAGCATCCCCCATTTGCCCATGGGTGTACGCTGCTGACTTGAGCAAATGCAAAGACTATTTTTCTGCACGCGCTTGTTTTTTCTGGTCGCGTAAGATTTGTTAAATAAAAGGGAACTCTTTAGCTACAATGTATCAATGTTATGTTATAAAACATGGTAAACACCACAGCATACACTATTGAGTTATGGATGCACTTGGGAGGTTTGCTAAGCACTCAAGAAGCTAGAGTCACTCTTGGCTATTGCCTCGAGCGACTCTTGTGCTTCTTTTGTGCTTAGCAACCTCCCGCGTGCATCCATAACTCAATAGTGTACACTGTGGTGTTTACCATGTGTTAAATTTTAACTCTTTCCCATTTTTGTGTTTATTATTAAAGGGATCTTGCAGCTAGGAACTGTCTTGTGGGGGAGAACAATCTTGTAAAGGTTGCAGACTTTGGTTTGTCAAGACTGGTGACATATGATATCTACACAGCTCATGAAGGTGCAAAGTTTCCAATCAAATGGACAGCTCCTGAAGCTCTGGCTTACAACACATTTTCAATTAAATCTGATGTTTGGGGTATGTTATGCCTCTTTAAAATTTAGATTGGTCCCAGTTATGTTTTGATACAATCAATTACAGAAAGGCATGACAATTCTGTGGTGATTGTGATTTCAATAAAAAAAGAAGATACTTGACAGTCATGTTATTTTCTGAAGGAAAGAAAATCTCAGTAGGGTTCCTTTGGGCCGAGACTCAAAATGTTACAGTGCAGCAGAGTGACACTACATGAAGTCTTGTAAGGTAATTAGGACAACAAGTAATATTCAGAATACAAAGTTATTGATCACAAGATTAAATTTTTTCATCCTTTCAAAACTGATATACAAAAAACTGCTACATTAGGCACTAAATCAAGACTACAGATTGTCTTATTTTGACTACTATCAATCATTTCAACTGAACCATGCAAAGGAAATTCATTGATAGTAATTGGTCTGTCTTTCAAGATGGACACAGATAGATTGATAGGCTTTTTGTTGTTGTTTACAGCATTTGGAATACTCTTGTGGGAACTTGCAACATATGGTATGTCACCATATCCAGGAATTGACCTGTCACAAGTGTATGAAATGTTGGAGAGTAATTACAGAATGCCCTCCCCAGATGGCTGCCCTCAAGAGGTCTACGAAATGATGATGAAATGTGAGTCAACAGTGTTGTGTTATCCGATACAAAGATGTTATTAACAATTTATCATGAGTACGGGGAGAATAATCTGAGTACACCTCAACCAGTTTGGATGTTGTGATTGGTGGCTCAATTAACTAAGCTGAGCAAAATACTTTACTGTAGGTTACTATGATTGTGATAAGCATCAGGTATGTAGCTATTGATCATATCCTATGTGCAGGAAAGGTAGTATTAGTATTTTGTTTAGCTATTTGTTAAATATTGAGATTTTTATTGGCTAAGTATTTTCAGGCATGTTCCTTTTGTTTGAATTTGCATGTTTGATCTTTGCAAGTACCCCTGTAAACTGCAGGAAAATTGTGACACCCATGAAGAACTTAATTTGAATTTGAATTAGTTATTGGAATTTGCTTAATATGAAACTTTCACAAAATACATGCATTTAGGTTGGAGCTGGGATCCACAAGATCGACCATCATTTTCCGAGATCCACAAATGGTTGAACACAGTCTTCTCAACTACCAGTGTTGATGAAGGTATCTTGTCTCTTTACAGACCTGCTTCTTATTTTTTATAAACATAATTGTAATTGATTGAAGGAAGAAGTCTTGCTAACTAGTCCAGCTTATTCCTCTACAACCCAACATCAGTATTTATATTCTCCATACTCTTCTCTCCATACTGTTCTCAAGGAGAATCTGTTGGCGATCATTTCTTTTATTCTTTTGACCTTAATGTTTGTTTCAGGGTCGATTTTGTGAGGAGAATTTAGATGCTAGTCATTCTTAGGTGCTAAAGGCTTATTTCAGTTTCAATAGAAGTTAGAAACAAGGAGTGTTGTTACCCCACTCACAACAGGTTTCCATCCATCTCATTCTGGAAAGTTGTAAACTTTTATGAGATTTCCCTGCTAATTTTCCTTTTCCCATTTATATCTGTGCATCTTGGTGAAGAGGGGCTTGCAGTGGGATGGTGTTTTGTGTTATCCAAGATAACAATGTTTTGACCTCCAGCTGAGAAGATTTTCCAAAACAGAGTGGGACATAATGATACAGCATAAAGTTATGACAAAATCATTTAAACCCAAGAGCTGAGTCAGATTAACTCAACCTAACCAAAATCAGTCTCCTATGTTTTAGATCATGATTTTATCAAAATATTTCTTTTGATTTTTCTAAAACAGAAGTGGAGAGGGCTTTGGAAAAAAATAAGACAAAAAAGGATAAAGGAAAGAAAAGCAAGAAAAAAGGTGAAGCCTATGATTCTTTGTCAGCGAAAGATGAGAGCACAAGCAGGAAAAAGAAAGATTTTTCTCACAGCTCAAAGCCTAAAATATCTAGCATGAAAAAACTTGCCAACTCACTAAATCCATCAGGGCCTCCTCCAGATCCACCAGCTCGGCCAACACCCAAAGATCAAAACTGGGAGGAAGAAAAAGAGGCACGTCCCTCACTACCTCCATTACCAAATGCTCCAGTGATGTCTGATTTGATGAAGGAATTGGGTAACAGGTCTGGGACACTGAAAAAACGACCTGATAAAGGCAATGTTTCAAATAGCAGAGAGCAAAAAGAGGATCTTCCTTCAAGGTTTACTGCTGATAACCTGCACATGAGACCACCAGCACCTTTGCCTCCAGGACACCAACCACAAGAACAGCAACCGGCAAAAGTAGCAAATTATTTCTCAAATCCAAAGCAAGAAAATGGAAATAAGCTTGTTCCACCCCCTCAAGGATCCCGTAAACTTACACACCCACAACCTCCCAGCAAGCCACTTTTGCCACCACCCCGACAGCCTCTACAGAAATCTTTGTCCAGTCCATCCAGCTCAACACCACTTTCCCCTCCCTCTCAGATTAATAAAAGAATGAAGCCACCCTTGTTAGAAGAGAAAACCAAAGAACTGGATACCCAGCTGTCAAATAAAGATAAACCAAGTAACTCTTCCAGGAAGACAAGTGTTGCAGGAAGTAAACCCTCTGATAATCCAAATTCAGAAGTGGACACACCAAGAAGTCCAGTTCCAAAACCACGGAATAGACCCCCTCCACCTCCACCTCCTACCTCATTACAAGAAAGTGGAAAGTCCACTTCAAATACAAGTTTGTCATCTTGTGATACAAATCCAACAGAATTTTCAAATGATGAGCTGGCTTCTCCCAAACCTCGCCCAGCACCTCGCCTTAGGCAGAGGGGAGAACAACCATTAGACCCAGCACAAGGTACACCAATCAGCAATAAAGGTACTACAAATGAACCCCTCAGACAGCCACCCACAAAATCAAAGCCAATGCATCCTCCTCCATCAATCCCAGACATTTCCAAAAGGCCCAGAAGTAATTCAAGTTCAAACCAGCAGCAAGTCAGTACTTCAGCAGTGAAGCCAAAGCCACCTGGGCCCAAACGAGCTCCTTGTAAACCAAAACCTCCGGTTAAACCAAACGTCCCCAGGAAACCTAAAATTACCCCTCCCAGTTCAGAAGCTGATTCTAATCTACCACCCAAAGTAAAAGAACTATTGCAGCTTTCTAACCAGGGCCAAACAAAGGTGCAGGCAATTCTCTCACTTACTGATGCTAGAATCATGGACGATTCACATAATAATCTTCTTCAAGCTATTGATGACCTCGAAAGAATCTCTGTTGAAGTTCTGGAGACATCATCAAGCTTAACTGACTCTCTAGGACCACAAGCACGGTTTAAAGTCCGTCGAACGGTGACAGATCTGGAAGGTAAATACAGTGACATGAAGGGCGTAGTGGAAACTGTGGGACCTAATCCCAATGCTGTTGATATGGAAAGGATTGGAAAAGCTGTGATTAGCTTTTCTGAGGCATTAGAAAATGTGTGTTGCACTGTAAGAGCTACTGCCTCCTGATATTTATTTGCATTGTAGACACTTGGAAAAGAAAACATTTCACAGTGTTAGAGGAATTTTGAATTGAGACTCGAATGTAATCTTGGATTGCTTCAGTTTTGTTTTTCCAAGGTCTGAGATTGGTCAGAAAAAATTGTGCCATCCTCTTAAACCAATCAGATGCAAGATGTGGTCACTCCCATTTTTCTGTGTTTGAGGCCACTTACTTGTTTGTTCTTTAAATTTTCCTTGACACCTGGTAATATTAATTGCCTTTGTTCTGATTTTCCATTATGATTCCTTTTGTTTAGGTGTTAGGAATGTTAATCGAAAAAGGCTCTAGCATTTTCCATTATTTTTTATTTAGCAATGCTAGTGGAAAAAGGCTAGCTTTCAGTTCACTACTTGCATACTTGTGATTGGCAGCAATCGTCAAGTTGAGCAAGATTTGAGAAAAGTTTCACCCATGAAACATAACGTAGAAACATCAATGTGTAAATATGGGTAGTTTTTATGTTAATTTTTTCCAGGCTGTTAATGTACACAGACAGGTTGAGATTTACACAAATCAAAAATATCTCTTTGCCAATGTGAAGCTATATCTGTCTGGTTTAGAAGTACCTTTTCCCAAATTATTATAACATACAGAATTAAAACTGTTACAGGTGCCTAGCTTTCAGACAGTTTAAATGTTTTTCCAGCAGCATTTCTCCATCCCACCCAAGGAGGAGTTCTTGCCTTTACCCACCTCTCCTTTTTATACCTTTAAATATATGTCAGGAAGAAAGGCACCTGTTGTAGTTTAAATTGTTTCCATATGAAATGACACATCCTTTACCAGAAACTTGCAAAGGACCAATATTGAATTATATAAAATTACAAGAAGAGCTAAAGATGCTAACACCCTCCCCCCCCCCCTCCACTTTTTTTCCTGTAGCAAGTCTTGGTTTTTTGCATTTGGGGGTAAGAGAGGGGAAATAATCAGCAAATGTGATTGCTCATTACTGTTTTGCAATGATAGTGGAATTATTTTTTACACAAAGCTATAAATTACGACTGAAAAAAAAAGTGCAAATAACACTTAATTGAATTAAGACTTGAAATTTGTTAACACTTTGGAGGAAGTCTTGAGAGAAAGAGCATACCCGTATGTGCAATTTGAATGGAATTTTTAAGCACTGGTTGTTAAGATTAAAACTCAGCAATTTTAACATGTCAAAGCTAGTTTTTTTTTTTAATGATATACCATTATATAGTATATCATTTCATCTACTTGTACTTATCCTCATCTGCTATTTGCTATGCTTTAACATTTGAATTGCACTTGAGGTTTACTCTTCTATTTATTGTTCTTAAATTTTGATAAATATTTTCTTCAAGTGTCTCTTCTTCCTCTCTTTCCCATAAGAATTTTATGCATTAAGATAATACCCACTTCCTTCAAGCCTGGTTTCTACTAATGATTGTCTGGAACAGTTCCCTGACATTTTTTATTTTCTGTGGGAGTGAATAACATGTTGACCCCAGATATATGACCAGGAAAACAAGCTATTACATTCAGTAATGCTTGTGAACTACCAATGTTGAACTTATAAGCAAAAATTGCATCCTGTAAATCCACATTGTTTCTAGCCACAAATGCTTATTGAATGTGTGTGCCACTTGATTTTGTTTGATACTGAGGATTGACATACAAGGAGCTAACTATATAGGAAGGATTTTTCATGTTGAAAGATATTCATCACTTATATTTGAAAATTATTGATTTACAGAAAATCTGCTAGCAATTAAAATTATAATTGCACAATTTTAGAAAAATGTATTCAGAGACGTTTAAAGGTTTTGTCAATAAAGACTTGCAAAAAGGCAAAAAAACTCACAAAGCTATATCGCTTGATAAAACTTTGCTGTGGTCCCTTTGATAAAAGTGAGATGAGTACAAAATTGCTGAGCTGAATTTTAGTCAGGTAGAATTTACTGCTCTGATCTGCTTGCAAGCTTATTATGTGCACTTGTTCAACCTGAAAAGCCTTAGGCAAGTAAGAGCTAAAATGAAACTGAATGGCAGACTTTTCTTCTCCCCTCTCCAATGAAATCAACACTATAAATAAGTATCATCATGTGAAGATTTGATTGATTGCAGTCTAAGTGCATTTTTCAATTTTTTTCTAAGGCAATCTCATTCAAAGGGAAGTAAAAACTTTCACTTTTGGAGGTAAATTCCTTGCAAAAACAGAGAGGAAATGCGAGTGTCTCCCCTAAAAACAAAACAAGGTGACAACAAAGACGTGATCTACAAATAGGCATTGTACCACTCTTTAGAAACCCACCAAACAAACACCACCTGATATAGGAAAAGACATAGGAATCATACTCAAAATAACATACTTTGCTGTCTTCACACCCTTTTCTCAAAACGACAGACCATGCTTAAGTGAACCTTTTATTGATTTGAGCTTTCATTGACCTCCACTGCATCATAATGATGCTATGCTCAATCCTCTCTACAACTACAATTGCCTGTAAAAGTTAAGGTGATCTTGACAATAGTTCCGAAGGAGTAGATGTGAACAAACAGTATCAACTATCCTTTTTTACATTACTTGGGGTAATAATGATAAAGAGTGCTCTGAGAGCATCTTTAAAGTTGCTGTCCCAAATCTCATGACCGGCACATCCTGTTCTATGCAAAAATAAAGAATGACTAAGAATGAAATAAGCTATTAATCAGTTTGAGCTTTGCTGCTCTGGGGGGGGATTTCAATATCTAACACTCTTATCAAGCCTTTGTTATTATTCAAGTGAAGAAAATGTTAGAAGTTAAGTGTTCAACAAACAATACAGTAAATGTAAGATTAAGGCTCTACATCTTAGGACTGGCCTGTTAAGTTGGTCAACATTGCAGTCGTACTTTATTGCTAATTATACCAAAGAATATAATGCAAGGAATATCAAATCACATAGTTATACAAGTTCCATGAATATGTTGAATGCATATGAAATACACTTATAAATCTACCATTATGGTAGTACAATCTACAGTCTAAAGCAAACTGTTGATAAAAATTGCTCAAAATAACACTCACCTGTCCCAATTTAAAGGTTGGACTGAAAAATCTAGATCTAAATTACTTTTTAAATATATAGGCACTTGCACTGGCTACAAATTAGTGTTTAGAAACCCAACACGAACTGTCTGATGATGTCAGGAGCTGCAGAATCAAACCCAGCCATGTCAAGCATTCCTTTGTCATTTGGATCAGCCAAAGTAAATCCATTGGATGTCATTGCACAGACAATGAGCTTAGCATCAATACCAGAATGAACCCTGTATTGCTTAAGGGCCTCACTGGGGTGCACTGGTCCTGCCCATGTTTCACAGTCAGTGTAAATAATAAAGACATCAACCTTAAGGTTCTTTTCTTTAGCATATAACATAGGCTGTGCACAGTCAGTACCTCCCATGGGAACCTGCAAGACAAATTAAATATTGGCACTAGGAAACTGGTGGACAAATACAGACTGAGTGGGTATATGACTCAAAAGTTTTACAGAATAACTTGTTGCTCTCTCTGACAGCTACCTCAAAGAATAGATAATTTCAAAATATCAAAATTATTATTAAAGGTGACTGAAGTGAATATTATGTCATCTTAAAACTAGGCAAGATTCGTTGTTTACAGTTAAACAGAAAGCATGATGGTCTTTCAAATTTGTGCATTTCACATGGTTGACAGTCAACTGTCGCACAAGCCAACTCGCATACGTACATGAAACAACTCACACATGTAATGAACCAACTCGCACACATCAATAAATTAAATTTGCAAATAATTTTTGGTCACAATGTAGAGAACCCTTTAATTTTCCCAACAAGGGCATAAACTCTCTAAAGACTGAAAATAGGTGACAGTTAATTAAAAAAAAAAACTTGAAAGGCCAAAGCAATCCAAAGATGCCCAAAAATGTTGATTTGGGACCCCAACTTAGCTGTCAAGTTTTACTTTATAAGAGAAACAACATTTGCAGGGCTTAAAGTAATTTCTCAACTTACCTGTTCAATGACTCTTAAAACTGTGTCAAGCCTCTGAGTGGAGTTAATATTCAGAGGCATCAATTGATGGGAAAAGCCCACAAAATGATACTGTGGCTCTGTCCGGGCTGTTAGCATTGCCATGGCAGCAGATGCAACCCTTGGGGTGATGGTTGTACCATTACAATTCCCCCAAGACATTGAGCCACTGACATCAATAGCCAGAAGATATCTCTTATTGGTGGGCTCGACAGTCTGCAAACAAACAAAAAAATTAAATTTTCATGTAGTTATTTCTGAAATAATTATGACTAGGGGTCCATTCTCTGAAAGTACTGGTAACTTAACAGGCCTGAAACCATATTTTAACAACAAAATTTAAAGAATAGAAAAGCAGGTTCTTGCACCTCAACCAGTCCACCTCGCTTCTTTAGCCGATAGTTCAATTTATAATTTTCAAAAATTTGAAATCCTCATCTTAAATGAAAACAGAAGAGCTTCCTGGCAAGCCAGGAACTTAAAGAAACAGGCCCCAGGTCATATAGTTTTTGGGTTCAAATCATAATTATTAATGATGTGGAATGAGTGGAAAGTGTAATTAAGATCTTTCAACTTTGTCAAGTAATACTTCTGTACTTTTTTTAATATTTCTCTAGGTCTGGAAAGACCTTCCAGATTAAAAATAGTCATAGTTAATCATCGTCTTGATATCACATCTGTAACATTTTTAAATTATTGAGTGGATTTCTATCACACTAAAAAAAAAAAAATGACATTTATAATGCAACACTGAATGCTTTGACTTGAAGTATAAATTACAACATAAAACTGAGGTCTTACAAACTTAACCTACAAGCTTAAAGGGTTACATACACTGGACATAAACAGTACATCTCACACTTGTACACATACAAAACCAGGCAACTCTCCTTTCCACAAACCTTAAATGCAATGTAAAATGCCTCATCCAAAGCTGACACAATAGCTTGATTTGGTTGCCAAGTAAGCTTTCCTTTGTCTCCTTGACCTGCTTGATACTGCTTCAGAGCCAACAGAATGGAAAATGGGTGAACGCGAGCATCTTTGAGACTCATCTCATCCCTCAACCTATCACAGACTTTTGTCATTCCATCTGATAAGGGGCCTAACACACCAACACTTGTCATTTTCCCAAGATTTCTGATCATGGCTGTCATAGGCATTTTATCAAGGAGTGCTTCCCAAATCTGTTAATAGCAAAGAAGATTTGTTTTCATCACCAAGAGTACAATTCTAACGTCATGATGTGTGAATTGTTGAATTTAACAATAGGTAGAGTTAACCAAATGGTTTCAACAAAAAAGTAACAGAACATATGCAGTGTAATCGTTTAGGGCCAAGTTGTTGAAAGGGTTAAGATAAGCCAGGGTTAGTGTGAAATTTGATTTCAGGTCCGAAAGCTTTCAGAGAAAATTCAGTTTAATTCCACTTGTCTATAATTTGATGATTGAGTGAATTGGGAAAATTATCCCAAAACGGCTTTTAAACTGAGAAATATAGAAACCTGGAATAAAATATATCCTTGGTTTAGCACTAATTGGCCTTCGAACAACTGGGCTCAGGTGAGTAGTCTTGTTGAAGGCAACCATTATCAGTGATAATGACTGACATTTCCACAATCTAAATGAAAGTCTTGATCAATGCCTAGTCACTTGACTTCACTCGGAAAGATTTCCGTATAACCCCAAACCAATCAAAAACAAAAGCCGTAGTCCCAAAGGAAATTTGTTGTCTTGCATCTGCTTTCCTTTATCCTAGAATTGAATGTCTAATGAAGTTTGGGGTTACATGGAAATCTTGCCCTTCACTCTGATGACCGTTTCTACCCAGCTTGTTTAAAACATCACTCTGTGTCGCTGACACCAGCCCCTTTCAAGACCACTCTCACTGTGACAATCAGACTACACATTCATAATGAAAAGTGTCAGAGTAATGTTGTAGCGTTGCCAGTAATGGTAGCTTGATTAGTTGAGATCATAAACTTGACAAATCTACAAATGATTGGGTATTCCTTTCGTTTACATATTTAAAGACAAACCGATTTAAAGCAGTACTGTTTACATAAGTTAACAAACCATTAGATTGGTATCATCAATTGTGAAACACCTTATCAATAAGAGCTCACAGAAATTTGCCATCACAAGAATTTTTGAAATTTAATAGGATTTAATAACCCTAAAATATTGTGTTAAAATTAAGTTAGTTACCTGGCTGGAGTTAAGATGGTTTGTGGGAATATGTTCCCTCACCATCCCATGCTTTCGAATGGCGCTGACCAATTCGTCTTCACCCAATGTCTTGGCTTCTTCTACCGCTTCTAAAAAGGTGTACACGGAGGTAATATCCTGGCTAACTCCAGCCTTCCCTGCATCTTCTTTCACCGCTTCAAATCCTTTAATCACGTACTTCACAACGAACTGAATAGCTGGATCTGTGGGTTTCACGTGGCAAAGTCTAAAAACGTCCCGATGTGACCAGCCATTACGCTGTTTATACTTGGTTACGGCCATTGCAAGGCCACGTGGCTTCTTTCCATTGTACCATTGTTGAATTGCTTTCCGATGTGCTCGGCCCCAGCCAGTCGATGGTTGGCTTAGGGTCTCGCAGATCTCGACGAAATTAAAGAGGTGAGTTGGAATTCGTAACACCTGGCCAAGGGCAGCATAAGCAGCCCTTTTGGTCTCCATGTGCTTCGATCGAGCACACAAAGCCAAAGACAGGATTATCGGGTCTTGCTTAGCTGTGCGACCCTCAGTACTGTATTTGACAATGATTTTAACGGCTTCGGGACCCCTTCCTTCGGCGATAAGTCGCATTAAAGCTTGAGCGTTCTGTTGCCCAAGTTGTTGCTGCGTCGCGTAGTACGTTCCGCCTTCGCTTCCAAGTACAAGGAAGCGTCGAAACCGCTCTAAGTCATCAACTTGCCATACAAATCCCCCAGCATCATTTCGTACCTGGTTTGCCGCTATCGGCTCCGATTGTGGCGTATTTGAGGGGTCATTCGCCATTTCCACATCTTGAGGAGCTCGTCCTTCAGCCATGAATGAACCTTATAGATACTTCCGCTTGTTCCTTTATTGGTCAAAAACTCGGTTTTACGAGCCTTTCAATTCACTTTCGTTTACACGATGCACTCGGACCGACCTGAGGTATTTTTTATCACCTTGCTATCGGTCTAAAAGCGTCTAGAGGGGTAAATTTCGTTCTTTCAAACGTATCCTAGGCCTTTGGCTCAGCAAGACGCAATGGCTGACGCGGCGAGGTCTCTGATTGACCCAGACTCCTCTCCTTTAGAAATAACGGTTTATTCTCTTCCGAGATAAACTATTTTCTACCCGATTTAGCTTGCCAATTTTCTCTTTCTCATATGTGAAGTTAGCAATCCTCAACACTTTGATCCACCATTTTTCAAAAACTTTGTCTTTTTATTACAAAAATCTAAAAAAGGTAAAGGAAAAGATATGGAAGATTGGCCGTAATAAGTAACCTCATTAGAAGACTGGACCCAATAGATCTCACCATCACTTTGTCATTGCTGTTTTCTGCTTCGATAAGCACTTTCGTTTTCATTTTCAGCAAATTTTTAATCAATGCATGGCAATCATTTCGATATTTAGGGCTTAAAACCGATTATGATGAAATTGTTGACTTCACAGAGGCAATATGCTCCCCTTTTTCATCATGGAGAGCGAGGAGAGGGATTTTCAAACGGATGGTGGAGGTTTCGTTACCAGGCCTTTGCAGCAGAGTTCGTCTAAAAAGGAGGGGGCGGCTTATTGGAATTGAAGGAGGGCGCTTAATAAGAAGTTATTTACCTTAACTGGTTCCCTTGTACTTGAAACTTAAAAGTTATAAATGAAGAGGCAATAGGAACAGGTTTTTCTTGTATCCCTTTTATTTAAGAAAGCGAGGAAGGAGGGGGGGGGGCAAGAGGGGTGCTTGCTTGATATTATGATCTAGGGGGTGGGTGCTTATCGGGGGGAGGGCGCTTATAAGTCTTATTAGAACGTGGGCGCTAATTCGAAGAAATACGGTAATTCTATATTTTAATTTTTCTCGGCTCCCCATTTTGAATGTATATTCATAGTTAACATTCTTATTTTATTCAGGTGAAAAGTTTCATCGTCATATTGAGTCTCGATTTGGGCACAAAATGTCCAAGTAAGCCATAAAGCTCTTAGATACGAAAGCTTTCCGTAAGCCCAAAAGCACTTAACCATTTCACTCTATGAGTGACCAAGACAGAATTTTTCCTTACAACTTCAATACAATATACAGAAGACAAGTGATGAGAATAAAGAAAAATATTAACCAATGGATTATTAATTGATCAGATATCAAGTTCTGTAAGGTAACATCATAAGAATCGTATCACAGACAGTAGGGAGAATCAGTAATGAGATCTCGAGAGTGAGAGGGTTAATACTTAATTGTTCAGACGGTTATTTTCGTCGGAGACCTTACTCCTCACAAAGTCAACAACGGTTTCAGTAGCTTTTCTTGTTGCTGTAATCACCCAGTAAATTTTAAGTGAAAATCGGAAGGGGAACAGCAGATGCACAGAAAATACTCCATTTTTACCTGCTTTTGATTTCTGAGTTTTCCTTCTCTGTGATTCTCTGTGATCCCCGATAGTAGACCGTTAGTTGGCCGACTGGTATTTTCTGGGGCTTGTTCTTCACAACTACCGAAAATTTTTAGCTGATTTTCTATTGGAAGTCGACAAAGCAAAATCAGTTGTCCACCATGACCTTGTGTCGAGGTATCGGAGATATTTTTCGTTCTTATAACGAACAGATATTTTTCACTCCTCTTTAAATGTACACGTAAAGTGGTTTACTCTTCGAATGAATTCGCTTTTGATCGTCCAAGAAAACCGGATCGAAGGCGACTCTACTCACCGGGTGATTGTGGATTGTGGTTTGGCTCAGCACTAAAATTTGATTGAGATATTACAGTCAAGTAGCAAGGAATTTTCCTTTTCTCAATCACAGATCCAATTCAGAAAGTGGGGCTGCATCTGCAATCATTTTGCCAAGAAAGAGGTCAAGATAATTTTAAAAAAAGTTTTCTTAGACGTGCGACTCCATAGTGCTTATCAAGCGCTCGTTAATTTCTTTCTTTGTAGGGCTGTTTGTCAGTAAACTTTTGCTAATTTTGTTTGTTTTTACGAACAATCCTATTCAAATGTTGTATAGCCTCAGGAGCCCCTTGAACATGCCACCTGCTCTAAGTTTCCTTTCCACCTGTCATCTAAATCTTCACTCTAATTCGTCGGTTTGTTCTAAGCTTAATGTTTTTCTCAAAGTGCAGAATTGAGTGAACGAGGAAATTTGTTTTCCGCGATCATGCTCAAATCTGTCACAAAAAAGTTGAAACCGTTCATAGAAGCAAAACTTAACGAGGAGTACGTGTCTATAGCGAACGATGCGAATTTGTACTGTTTGGACTATATTGAAGAGCGATTGAAACGCTCCAATATCGATTCAGATCTTGAATTTATCCGACCTAAAGCTGTGTCTGAGAGTCTTCTTTCAATTTCTGCAAAAATAATCGAAGTCGGTGAGCTTTTGGAAACAACTTACCCTCATCTGTATAACAACGTTTCAAAACAGCTCAAGGTAAAATTACGGAGCGAGGTAATAGTCGGCGACATTTTCAGAAACTTCGGACGCGAGCTGTTTCGCGAAGGTATCACTTGGGGACGAATCGTAGCCCTGTTCGCGTTTGCGGCTGCTATCAGTGCTGACTGCATAACCCAGGGACGACCAGAGCTTGTGAAAAATGTGCTTAGCTGTGTCAGACTTTATGTTTTGGATCATTTGGCCGTTTGGATTAGGAGTCAAGGTGGATGGGTGAGAAATATACTGTTGATATTTTTGTATAATCAGTGTTCGTGAGGAAGATAACCAATTAACATAGGCGTTTTAATCTAACTTATATACTTGTCTCCTACACCAAAAAGGAAAGTTTTATTCCGAAGAAATTATTTTAGAAGTGCATTATGTACAGACATAAAAAGCGTTTCGAATTCTCGAAAACGAGAATGACTTAACGCGATTTTAAAGTTATTTTTTCCAAGTTTTTGGTTTAATAATTTCTGGGAAAGTTTGCAGATGTTTTCTAATCGAATTCAGTAATCGCGCCAGAGAAATAGAAAGTCCATAAATCAATTGCCCTCTTACTTATTTTGAAAATTCACCATTTATTTAGGTTACTTCATTTAATAAAAAAAGCTAAATATTCAAATTAAATTTAAATTTTCAAACCAATCCGGGAACTAATCACAAAGGTGCGAAAAATGAATGATTGTATTCTGAGAGACACCAAAATGACAGACGAGATCGTTGAAAACAATAGAGGCGATCGATATGGTGACCATAGTTGCCAGGCGGAGAGCACAGCTCTGATAAATTTGCATAAATCATCATATTTCGACTTGAATGATTTCTGTGAAGATCACTAGCGATGTTTCTTTGGTTCAACCCTGAAACTCCTTCATTTGTATGCATTTTCTCCATGCTGTTCTCTTTGCTCTTCTAAGGTTCTAACAAAGAGAATTTGATTAACAATCAAGAGCTTCGTTAGTTGGGGATCATTTCCTTTCATTCTCGTGACCTTAATGTGTGATTTAGGGATGATATTGTGAGGAGAAATTAGATGCTAATCACTCTCAAGCGTCAAAGGCTTAAAGAAAAGGAAAGTGCCTGGATTGGGTCATAACCTCTTGAGTTTGCTCATATGCTTTACGTGAAAAAACGGAAAACGTTAGCTTGTCCTTTCACGTTTCATGTAAAATAGCGTGAACCTTGCTGCTTTAGTTGCGCGTGAGCTCACCCTTGTTTGACTTACAAGGAATAGTTTTGGTGCCCTTTTTCCAGCAATTCACTTCTACTCTATGAGAGAAAAGGTGAAGAAAATCTTACGTCACGGCAAACGCGTAACAGGTTACTTTAACGTAAAAACAGCAAAGCGCAACCAGCAAACATGAAAAAATGGCGGGGAAAACAAGGTCACGTGGTCACGCTAGCTGTTCACGTTTCACGAAGACGCTGTGCTAAATCTCTCTCTTATCAATTCACTTCTGGTCAAAGCCCAAACAAAAGAACTCCTCCGACGTGAATTAACTTTAATATCTATGAATAATTTCAGTCTTACACTAACATTTGTAATCCTCTCTCCTCTTTTGGACAGGCTGATATCAGTGAAAAATTTAAATGCATCGAAAAGAGATATTCGATGGCGTATTTCCTCCGATGGTTTGACTATAACAGATTGTGGCTGGTCAATACGACGAAGGAAAGACTTAACTTGCTACTGTGTGCAATAGTAGAGTGCATAGGTCTTATAGACGGAGGCTGACCAACCAGCTCGTATTATTATGACGTATATATATATATATATTCTTTCTTTTTTATGATGTTTCCTCAGATTTCCCTGAAATCCTGAGGTCAAGAAACCGTGATCTGAATACTACCCACAATGCCTTTCGGGGCCATTTCGTGCACTTCACTGCGTTTCCCGCAACCTTTCTGCAGACAGCTATATATATACTTGAGGAAAAATGAAAAAAAGAAAGAACTAACCCTACTGAACGACCAAAACGAGGTAAACTCGACAAGAGGGAATTCTAAGTGACCTGCAGAAATCAATGTTTACAATGTAACGAAATAATTTGGATATATCAACAAAGTTGAAATGGTAAATTGGCCACCGTAACGATTACAAAAGCTGACGTTTCGAGCGTTAGCCCTTCGTCGGAGCGAATAGAGGAATTGTGGGTTTTGTGTGCTTTTAAAGGCAGAAAATGGAGCTACGTTATTGGTGGGAACATGGCAACGAGAAAAACA